GGAAACCAAAAATTGGAAAAATCTTAACATAAACTGTCCTGTTAAAGAGCACTAGACAGTGACCTAATTAGAGTTTGAATCCAGACCTGTCAATCCACAGGCCAGGGACGGGTTGCTCAAAGATGGGTTAAGATAACCCAGGGTTAGTGTGACATCTTATTTTGCATCTGAAAGTTCTATGATCGGATGCTCTTAAAAAGAATGGAGAAAAATGGTCTAAAAAAGGCTTTAGAACAAGTGATTAAAAAAACCTGGCCAATGTAAATAAGAATAATAAACCAGCCCTCAAACAACTGGGCCCAGCTCATTAATCAATAAGGCACCTAGTCTCCTTAAGACTTCTCTGTTGGAGACAATATTGATCAGACATTAAAATAGTGATTGGAATCCTTTTCATGAGAACACCCTTCCTTGCAATACATGTCTCTTTTATCTAGAAATTAGATGCTTGGTTCTAATAAAGGGTTAAGTTAATTTGCTTCTGATTTAGTTCTTTGCAGTTACTAATTATTATTGGCTGTTATTATCTTGATGATTTCTTTTAGGGACGTGGAGCACTACAAGATATTGACCAGATGAGTTTGTTCAAGTCTTTGTGCAAGTACTGTGCTACAGTTACAAGGTAAGACTTCTACTTTTCAGCCCAGATAATTCAAAGAAGGGTAGACTGACGTGGAATCAATACAGAAACTGATCTTACATCTTGCTTTGACCAGATGAGTTGTTAGCCTCATAAATTTCTGTCAGTGCTTTTCATTTTTGATTACCACTGCCATTGAACAGTATTGTCTGTAATATTGAACAGTATTGTCTGTAGTATTGAACAGTATTGTCTGTAATATTGAACAGTATTGTCTGTAATATTGAACAGTAGTGTCTGTAATATCATTTGCCAACAGGGTAGCGGACATTGTACCAATTCTACAAAAGGCCATTCAGATTGCACAGTCTGGAACTCCAGGTAAATGTTCTATTGAGAAAGACTGTTGACTATTATTATATAATAATAGTGAACAGCTGAAAAAGGTTTCTCTTAATAGCAGTGGTCTTCTATCACCTCTGACCTTGTATATCTCAAAATTCCAGTTTATATGAACTTGTGGCTGCAACCAAAGGTATGGAGAGATTCTATTTTGTATCCTTGGCATGGTTTTGCAAACCATTTTAAATTTAATTTCCAGCTGGTAGTCTGAAGTTTGGTCTTCAGTTGAACCTCATTTGTTCCTAATACCTCAAAAATTCCCACTGTTGTCATTTTGAAAGTAAGTTTCAATACATAATTACCTGCCATTTGTATATTAATTACTTTTAAATTTATCACAAAATTTATGTGATACTATTCTCCTGGTTTGTAGGTCCTGTGTTTGTGGAGTTTCCCATCGACACCCTTTATCCCTATCCACTGGTCAAGAAAGAGTCTGGACTCAAGGTATTCTCTTCTAAACTTCAAATGACTTTCACCAATCAAAATTATGTTTCAGGGCTAAGTTGGTGCCATCCAACTGCTAAATGGCTATCCAGCAGACAAGTGTTCACCCTTTTACTCCCAAGATTGCATTAATTTTAATTAATAATTCTCCATACTGTCTGCTATACAGTCAATTCTTATGATGTTATAGGTTAGGAGAAGTTGGTATTGGATTAACTATTATTCTGCAATTGATCTTGAATCTCGTAACTTGTCTGCTTGATATTGTACTGATATTGAAAGGAGAAATTCTGTTTTCATCACTCATGGGAGTTAAAGGGTTTTTAACCAACACACTGCACCACTGACCAGATAGAGATTTGTCCAGTGGATAGACAAGTGTCATCCACCTTTCGAACAACCAGGTCCATGGCAATGAAATCAGTGGTGCTCAATAACTTGTTATTAATATCTATTAGCAGAGATTTTGAGATAGTGAAGTCATCTGTGAGCCCCCAGCAGTCATCTGTAATCAATTAATATTATCTATCCACATGTCATTAAATTGCCAACTGAAGAGTATTTAACATGTGAAGTTAGTCTAAAATTTTTATTATTACTGCATGGTAACATGATAGCCAACCAAAATGTCTCACTACTTTCAGGATGATGCTCGTGGATTTTCTCAGCGATTAGTCAATTGGTGAGTTGCCTTCTAGTCACAAGGCCTGGGTCACACCCTCGGTCACACCCTCGGTCACACCCTCGGGTCACACCCTAGGGTGTCTCGGATATACTTTGTTCCCTGATCCTCCTGCAAGTTTACATGGCTTGGGGTGGTAACAAGAATTTTCCTCAGTCAGTAATCTAATACTGTAACAGTAACTGTGCCGAGGCTGTCAATAGATTTGAAGGTTTTTAAGAAACCATATATTAAATTTTATTAAAAACTGGATCATTGGATAATGCAATTCAAGACTTTTTATTGGCTTAGCCATTATGGTATAGAGCTAATATACCATAATCTACAAGTATGGTAAGCGTACATGTCAGCTTAAAATTAAAAGGGAGCTTAAAAAATTTAATAAAATTTACTAAATTAATTTAACGTTTTTAATAAAACAATTATTCCACTCGCGCTTGTTGGATATGAGATGATTATAGCCAACTCAGCGCTACGTGCCTCGTTGGCTATCTATCATCTCATATCCAACGTGCGCTCATTGAATAATTGTTAAATAGCAAGCTACCAGCATGTTGACAGTACTGTGTTGATGTCTAACTTTGTGTATGATTGTGTTCATTTTCCTACAGGTATATATCTAACCACCTTCATGGCTTGTTTGCGGGAGCCTGGGACCCACAACCAAAAGATCCATTGCCTGTTGATATACCAATGCCTATTCAGTCACAGGGTGAGTGCCTTTTTAGATTTTACTTGATTTTAGCCAGTGAATGTGTGACTGTCTCATAAGTAATGGTAATTGAACTGAGTGGAGTGCAGTTTGGGCTGAAATGATACGCGTGATTTCAAAATCGAATGAGCGCGCAGCGCGAGTTTGATTTGAAATCACAAGTATGATTTCAGACCAAAATTGCACGACACGAGGTTCAATTACCACTTTATTACATCCATTTTGAAATCGCCCAAATACAGGACTTGGTCAATTCAAATATTTTATTGATACAGTACTGAGCCAGTTTTCAAATAAAAAGTGGAACCGAAAATGCTTTTACACCTTATTTTGTATGTAAAACAGAAAGACTTTGACGTCATGTGTCAAAAACTCAGTCGAGCGCAAAATGATGCGATTAAGAGCAAAAAATGGTGCGATTCATGAATAAATCGCACCAATTAGAGCCAATCAGATTACAGGGACCACCAGTGATTTCAAAATGGATGTAATAAATCAGTAAATTAATACTGTACAATTCTTATCAAAAGATTCATGACTTTTCTTCTTTTTAGTTGATGAATGTGTCAGACTGGTTTCCAAGTCTACTAGGCCAGTGATTATCCTCGGAAGTCAGTCTACATTGCCTCCAGTGCCAGCCGACAAACTAAGGAAAGCTTTAGAGGTGAATCATAGATAAGGCCTGTGCTGTTTATTGCCTTTTCAATTTGTCAGCAGAGTATCATTAAATTCAGAGGAAGCAACCCAAATGGTAGCAATGAAATTTGACACTTGGTGACAAATTCCACATGGGGCCATCCCTTCAAAGTAATGATTCTCTGTAGGCTACAACCTAGGTTCGATTACCAGCCACTGTATGGGAACTGGAGCCTGTGCTCCTCAACACTGGACTAGAGAGAGCGGCAGAAATCAAGCCTAGCTACAACCTAAACTGTAGAAATGTTGCAGATGTAGGAAGCCTCTGTTTGCTTTTGGCCTTGAAGTTGTTTCCTCCCTTAAGAACCAACTTAAAGTTAAACCCTTTAGATTCAAAGAAACAATTAAAAGTCAAAAGGCTTACCAGTAACTCAAATGTAATTTCTGAGAACTTTTGGGCAAACCTCTTTTCTGCTCCAGGCTCCTACCAGTACATGTATTTTCTTGCAAATGAAAGTTTCCTCTGGGTAACTCTTACTTATCAGAAATACTCTAGACAAGAAGTTGAAATAAAAGCTTAACGTTTCTAATTAATTTTATTTTGCAAGAATTTTCACTTAGACCATAAATATAGTACGTAGCTCTCATGCAGTGTGTGAGAATTAATTGAAATCAATTCATAATTTGGCAGTAAAATAACAATGATGTGACAACTGATCCCAATTGCAAATTTATGATTTAGCCTCAGGCTAGTTAGCACAAATTGCCTTGCCTACATGTTTTCTGTTTTTGTCATTGTATTTGTAACAGTTGTTTGTTTATGTCTGTTGATATATTCTTATTTTTCCCAACAGGAATTAGGTATCCCATGTTTCTTGGGAGGCATGGCCCGTGGTCTGTTGGGAAGAAATAGCAATTTCCATATAAGGCAAAGGAGAAGAGATGCTCTAAAAGAGGCTGATCTTGTCATTTTAGCAGGTGAAGTAATTAAAACTGTATTCAATTGTATGGGGGAAAGATGCAAATATCTCATCAAAACCATCAGAATGTCCTTTGTGACAAAAAAAATAGTCTAATGTAGATAAAAGTTATTTACCGTATTGAAAAAATCAAGGCTAAAGATTGAAAGCAAGGTAAAGTGTGAATCTTTAATAGTCAGAGGAAGATTCTCTTCATCTTTTGTCACAAGTGTGGGACAAAGAAAAAAGTCCGAGTCCACATCAGGAGTTGAATGTTTACCTCAAACCTTCAGCTTTCATGCTCTGATGCTCTACCACTGAGCCACAGAGACTATATGGTGAGCAAGGCCCATTATAAAGTTCATAATTATATAACATGCATGCAGGACCTTCAGCTTTCATGCTCTGATGCTCTACCACTGAGCCACAGAGACTCTCTGTAGGATCGTGCATCATACGTAGAGACTCTCTGGTGAGCAAGGCCCATTATAAAGTTCATAATTATATAACGTGCACCCAGGACCTTCAGCTTTCATGCTCTGATGCTCTACCACTGAGCCACAGAGACTCTCTGTAGGATCGTGCATCATACGTAGAGACTCTCTGGTGAGCAAGGCCCATTATAAAGTTCATAATTATATAACATGCACGCAGGACCTTCAGCTTTCATGCTCTGATGCTCTACCACTGAGCCAGAGACTCTATGGTGAGCAAGGCCCATTATAAAGTTCATAATTATATAACATGCACGCAGGACCTTCAGCTTTCATGCTCTGATGCTCTACCACTGAGCCAGAGACTCTATGGTGAGCAAGGCCCATTATAAAGTTCATAATTATATAACATGCACGCAGGACCTTCAGCTTTCATGCTCTGATGCTCTACCACTGAGCCAGAGACTCTATGGTGAGCAAGGCCCATTATAAAGTTCATAATTATATAACATGCACGCAGGACCTTCAGCTTTCATGCTCTGATGCTCTAACACTAAGCCACAGAGACTATAATTATGGTGAGCAAGGCTCATTATGAAGTTTATATAATTTATGACATGCACCCAGCATACTTCGAGGATTGGCAATGTGGATAGTTTCATGTTTTGTGAACAGTGTAAGAAAGATGGATTTGAGCTCAGTAAAGAAATAACAAAAAACATCTTTCTCTTAGACTAGTTCTTTACCAAGCTCGTTAAAAGTTAACATCTTTCTTAATCTTTTAATAGTCAGCTTTCAGAAACATGATGGTCCTCTTTCTTTTGACTACAGGAACAGTTTGTGACTTTAGGCTTTCATATGGGAGAGTTTTGAACAGGAAGTCCAAAATAATTGCGGTGAATAGGAACAAGAGTCAACTCTTCAAGGTGAGTCATTTCCAAAATCCTAGTTTCATTTTTGTATTTGACTATATACTTTAGTTGAAACTTTTAAGAGGAACAATACAGTATATCTAAATGTTAACTGACTTTGGCTAAATTGCCTATTTATCATAATTATGATAATAATTAATGACAGGATGGTCTAAGTAATTAATTGACTTCAAATCTTTATCTACTTTTAGAATTCAGACATGTTTTGGAGGCCCTCAGTTGCTGTTCAAGGTGGGGATTCAGAACAATAAAAAAACTTACTAGACACTAACTTGTAATGGGATGTGAAGCTAGTTAAAAGCTGTCTTGAGTGGTATCAAAAAGGTTGTGATAACTATTCACAATTAACCTGCCTTATATTAAATAAAAAGTTACGTAACTGTTAAGTCTGGGTACTCCTACTTTACAAGTGAGATTTAACATTTTTTGTGCGTTTATATATTTTTGTTTGTTTTGATTTAGTTGAGGTGCTGTGGCCTCATTGTTAGTGCCCTCAACTTTGGATCTAGTGGTCCGCGTTTGAGCCCTGGCTGGGGACATTGTGTTGTGTTCTTAGACAAGACACTTTACTCTCACAGTGCCTCTCTTCACCCAGGTGTATAAATGGGTACTGGCAAATTTAATGCTAGGGGTAACTTTGTGATGGATTAGCATTCCATCCAGGGGAGAGTAAAAAAAAAAAAAAATACTCCCAGAAGCTTCATGCTACAGAAACCAGAGTTAAGTACTGGCTCAATGGGCCACTTGGCTCGTAAGCAGGCTTTACTCTCTACCTACCTTAATTTTGATTAGTCAGTAGACAATAAGTAATAATTATTATCTTAATTATCTTTCCCCACCCTACCCCACCTCAGAATGTACAAGAGAAGCATTCATAACAAGTTAGAAGACTATTTTTTTGTGACAAATGATAATTCATGGTTCCCATTAAGCTTCAAGGTATTGGCATCATAGCCTCATGATGATTCCCTTGGTTTCAGGTGATCCTGCTACCTTGATGATTGAACTTTCTAAGGGTCTCAAAGGCTACACCTGTCCAACTGACTGGGTGGACAAACTGAAAGAAAGAGATATTGATAAAGAGAAAGTAAACAGGTACCTCTCTGTTATACCAGAGTCTAAATTACAAAAAAGTTTTTTACAAGCATGCAATGTATGCTCTTAAGATATTTACAGAACACTGGAAATGTTTTCACAGCAACTGCTTTCCTTCAGCTCATGGTTTCAGACTCACCTTGTGTTTTTCCAATGGTAGACTTACAATTGATAGTATTCACTCTCATTGGTAAATCAAAAGAAAATTCAGTCTCTGAGTTCTTGTGCATAGAAACTTTGCACAACTAACAAGATTGCTGTTTTTTTTTAGTTCCTTTTCACCTTCATCAAGTAAATTTTAATTGATGAAGAAGTTGATAAGGACCTCTGATTCAACTCTATATCACAATTTCATTCCTTTTTTTAGAGTCTTTACTGCGATGCTTTTTTTTTAATGTTTTTCTTGCCAAATCAAGTGTTTATCTTTTTCAACCTTAACAGTCTGAAGTCACAGGAATCTTTAAAACAGCATCTGAACCCACTGAAGCTTTTATTCAATCTGGAGAACATTATGTCCAGTGACAGTATCATTGTAGCTGATGGAGGAGACTTTGTAGGCACTGCAGCATACATCCTGAGGTAAAATGTGATGAACTGTTTTGTTTAGGAATGTTTGTTTTATTTTACCTCATGTACAAGGGAAATGGCTTTCAGATAGTTAGCAGCTGACCATTTGAAAAAATATTGAATGGCTCCAGGGAAAAGCCTTCTTTACTCAATGTTTCACTCATGTTAAAGTGCTCCAGAGTTACCAAGGACATTTGCATATCCCTTTTGAGGTAGTGGACAAATATGCAGGTTTAAAAATTTTTCACTGGTTTGCACTAAATTTTAACAGCTCTCCATATTTCATGTTACAGTTTGTAGTGTTTCATCAAACTCATTTCATGCATCACAAGCAAAAGAGAAACCCTTTTTTTCTAAAAATTCTACTACAGGTCAGAATAATCAGTAACCCAATAGGGGAATGTATCTACTTTTTACAGATAGAATAGGTTATTTCCTGCAAATGAGCGAATACAAGTTTACCCATCCATTGATCTCACAAACAGCTGTCTTTAAGACGGGTGATTTGGTAAAGTGAAGAAAAACAGATTTAAGCTTCCCTCCTAGCTTTGAGTAATAACGCTAGTGAAACAGTAACCTTGCTTCCTTATTTCAGGCCACGAGGTCCATTGACATGGCTGGATCCAGGTGCATTTGGGACCCTTGGGGTGGGTGGTGGCTTTGCCCTGGGGGCCAAGCTCTGCCGCCCAGAATCAGAGGTCTGGATTATTTATGGAGATGGTTCCTTGGGTTACAGTGTAGCAGAGTTTGATACTTTTACAAGGCACAAGGTTAGTTTGTTTTGTTCATTTGTTTTGGTAGAATTTATCAGCTATACACCTGTATGCTGATGCAGACCTGGTGAAACACAAGTTACAACAGGTCCACAAAACTGATTGCTTTTATGTGTCACAGTTTCTCTGAGAAGGGCATGCTGGTTCTTTCACCTCTCGTGCTGACTAAGACAAATGCTTCAGGAGAATCCTAATGACACAATGTCCTTAGACAAGAAAATGCAACTATTTTCAAATGTGATTTCAGTAGCTCACAATCTCCTTTAAGATAAGTATTTTAAAGCTCTAAGTGAAGGCACAGGCAGTCTACTAAAGGAGCTAACCAGGTGGTAGTGATTACATAAAGCAATTCCACCGTTAGTTAGTAGTTATTATAATCATACTTAAATTGTTTTTTTTTGTTTCTTGTTTTTTTTTTTTTTTTTCACATAATTAACCCTGGCTTATGATAAATGTTGATCTCATGTTGAATTCTCAGACTCCTGTCATTGCCCTGGTTGGTAATGATGCATGTTGGTCCCAGATTGCTCGGGAGCAAGTACCAATGTTCGGCTCAAGTATAGGATGTGACCTGGAGGTAGGAAAGAGCTTGAGTTCACTGTCAAAGTGTTGAGAAATACCATGATGTCAAGTCAAGAACAATAAAATGTTTATTAGTAGAAGCCAGGAGAGTACTATTTCCTGGAACAGTGGTATATATATCTTATTAACCAAGTGCAAGGGCCATACTGGGAGAATATCGGCCCGAGGTCTTGGCAGTACGGACCTCGCTGCGCTCAGTCCATACAAAAAAGACTGAGAGCCCATATTCTTCCAGTATGGTCCCGAGCAAGCTTGGTTAATTAATAAGAGATTTATTATACGACTGAAGTTCAAAGGGACACAAGTGCGGTATCATTTGGGACCATGCAGGACAGTGCCCGGTCCAATACTGAGAGAATAATGACCGGCAATAGAGCATTTTGATTGGTTGATTTTAGTTATTGGCCCGCTTACTGCCCGAGTCGTGTAATAAAATTGCTTAAAGTTCAAGGCCTAATCTTCCTTTTCTGTATTGTGTTAATCCTTTCATCCCCCTTGGAGTGACCAGCATTCCTTTCAGTTTCACGACTAAATCCGACGTCAACGTCATGAGAGTAGGTAACAGATTGAAATGGTGCTCAACCAAAAAAAAACTCTCAATTGTTCAGCAAATTCTCCTTGCCAGTACCATGGGAAACTAAGTGAGAACAGTATGGAGAATATGCATATTGTCTATAAGCCAAGGTAAATGTTTTATTCTGATGCCTCAACAGTTCACAGACTATCACAACGTGGCTGAGGGGTATGGAGGAAAAGGGTTTCTTCTCAGGGATTCATCCACTGGAGAGATTGACAAAACACTCTCAAAAGCACAAGAAGTCGCCAGAGATGGCACTGCTGTGCTGATTAATGCTCTGATTGGGAAAACTGACTTCAGACAGGGATCCATTTCAGTATGACAAATTTCACTATGAATTCGGGACAATTTTACATCAAATTAACCAACTATGAGAAGTAATTAACATCTAATTAAAGTCAAGAAGTAAATGATTGTTGAGCCTTAGATTACACTTTCTAGTGTTTTTACAGGTTTCATAACACACGTGAGATGTTGGAAGGACAGCAGAATACAATCAAACTTCCACTAATCGCAACCTCTCTATAATGGCAACTTCTCCATCGTGGCTAATTTTTTGGTCTTAGCAGGCTGTCCATACATTCATTTAAACCTCTCTACAATGGCCACCTCTCCGCGACAACTACTTTTCTTCTGTCCTCGAGGTGGCCATTGTGGAAAGGTTCAACTCTCCAAGTTCAACTTGCCAAAGACAAGTGATTTACAAAATATTCCAAAGTTTCACCAACATCTCAATTAGATTATTAGATGCATTAGCTGACAGAAAGTGTGATCTATTGCAACTCATAATATAGCTATTAATAATAGGTTTATTAGCACATTGAATGATAGTTTTCGACAATAAGAGCATGCATATTGTCTCATCCACTTTATAATGATAAATGACAGTGAAAGGTTGCAGAAACATTCACAAATAAATGCCTGAAATTTGGTTAGCATGGTGGTCACTTGAGGTAATTTCTTTACGATCAAGGTGATATTTTTTTCAGTTTAGCGGGTTTTATGTGTAATTTGAGTGATACTGTTTTCCAGACTCAACTGATTGAGAAATAATTTACAGTTCACAATTTTAATGACCTTCCGCTTGGGAAAAGGGAGCAATGTATTTTTATTTTATGAAAATAGGCTATTTTTCTCTATTTTAAAGAGAAAAAAGGCTCTGCTAGAGCACCCTGTGTAACTAGTTTCAGTTAAATTTTAAAATCGTAATACAATCACTACAGGAGGGGAAAATAGCAAATCTGTGCATTTATCCTAAATAAATATTAAGTTGATCAAAATATGGATGAAAAACATACAGTTACATAATTGAACATTGTGAATATACCTTTAACAAATACCAGGTACCATTTAAAAGACAAACTATACAAATAAAGGAAACCTTTGAGTGTTTAACCCAAGTACATTTCCTACATGTTCTGTGAAGAAAACTCTGACTGTGGATTATGCTTGATTCTACTTGCAAAGTGATGCTGCACTCACATGTTATGCTAACAGGGAGATCTGGCATTGTTAGGGAAAATAAAAATATTGTGCTCAAAATGTGCTACTTGAAAAATTAAAAAAGGGGAAATAAAAGACAATTGTTTTTATTGCCATTTCCCGGTTATTGCTGCTGTGCCATCTTCAACTTCCTAAATACCTTGCACTATTCCCACTTAAAAATGTGCATACAGGTACTCTCAATTGTCTGAGTAATCAGCTTTCTGAGGTGAACATTACATGTTCTTTCCTTGATCCAAACAGTCTGAATCTGCTATAATTCTCAGCCTGTTACCCCAAGTCCTCGTTAACTAATTGCAGTCAACAATGATCACTGTGTACTAAACATTAGCATCTTCCTGGAGAGAACTGTTCATTAAAGTAAAAGCTTCAGATTTCCATCAGGGCTTGACACTAACTTTTCAACTTACTAGCCAAGTGGCTGGTGACATCTTGGATGCTGTGACAATGTCAGTTTGTTTACTAGCCACACTGGCCAGTGGAACCGAAATCCACTAGCCAAAACTGAATTTCTACTACTCTGTGGCTAGTGGGCTACCGTAAGTGTAGAGCCCTGTCCATGATTCTGACAAAACTGCAAAGTGATGTTGTCTTTTTCAACATTTTCCTTTTTGTCTGAACTTGCCTATCACCTAGGGTTTAGAAGGTGTCTCGTAGTCCTCCAACAAACTTAACCTTGCAAACATGGAATACTTAATCCACATTGTCCTACCAGACTGTACCTTGGGCTATCATTAAAGTTGCATTATCTAACTTCACTACTGCTATCTTTTCTTTTTGGAAGTAATTTTATGCAGATCAGCTTTAGACAGGCACTGGACACCAGCTTTGAACTTTCCAACTGAAGCCTGCAGGCCTTTACAGGAATTATCCACCCACCAACCCATTGGAGCCCTGAGAAACAAAACAAAAATAAATTTTAAAATGATATTACACATCAATTTTGTCTCCAGAATGGAATAAAGAAAAACC